CTTGAATCATTTTTGAGAAGCTCTGATTTAAAAAAAAATCCTCCTTTGGAGAGTGTATAGGCAGGCTTGTGATACAACCTGGGATCCATACTCCAAGCTTAGATAATTTCCTGGCACAAGACCTGGTAATACAAAGCCTTTGCTACACATTGGCTCTTACATTGGAAGAATGATAGGAAGAATGTCAGGGTTACACAGTCTTGTCAGAAAATGCCACAGTCAGGATTTCACTCATCCTTTTTGTGGCATTATGTCTCACTGTAAGAGCATTCATAAGTGTCTAACATTTTTGTGTTTCTTTTTGGCTGTCCGTAAAACCATCTCAGTTTGTCATAGTGCCAGCCTGTTCACATTCATCCTCTGGGCAAAACTTGCCACAATTGCCACCTTGGTGCAGTTCAGCAGGAGGGACTCCTCACCCTCCCTTCCCTTACCTGGTCAGGTCCAGCATCAGAGAAGAGTGCAGGGAAGCCAGATCATCTGGTCTTCCAAATCATTGTGGTAGGTAGCTGAAAGATAAGTTTGTGAGTAAAAAAAGTGAATCTTATAAGAGAATGTGTTAAGTGACCTCAACATATGAAAAATTTTGATTTCTGGTATGATCCACTGGATTTTTTGTTGACCTAAAGGCTGGGAGAAAGGGTGAGGGGAGAGGGGGATGGGAGAAGGTGAGATCAAACTATGAAGTTGGAGGGTCAAACATGCAGCTAACGACAGAAACAGATCTTCTGACTCATCTTTTCTGTCCAAAGCCTGGTCCCCTGTGGTACTGGAACATCAGGTGGAGCCTGGTTAAATGCATTCCATCTTTTAACTGTAAAGGCTTCAATATTAGTCAGGGGGAGAGGGAGAAATGATACAATACCACTTTGGCATGGCATGATACTCAGAATTGTACCACATTCTGAGGGATAATCAGGTTACTTTGTATTTATTCTTTATTATAGCTCTTCAAATTAAAAGCTATGGGGTATGGTATATACACATTCTTGTAAAGTATTGATGGGTGCATTCAAAGCCACAGAACTTTGTGAAAAATGATTTGCATTTCAAAGCAGCAGAGATGGCTAGTTTGGGTGAGATCACATGGAAGTATTAACTAATAACTTTAATGAGCTTTCTTAATTGTATGGCTGAACTTTTACTGAGGTCCTGTGTTGAAAAGGAGCATCAGCTAACAGTAACTTGACTCTTGACTTTGGACTGAAGAAACAGAAGCAGAGAAAGACAGATAAGGAGGTAGTTAGCTAATTTTATTTTTTAATAAGGAATACCATGGTATATTTCATTGTCCATAGTGTATCAAAATGTAATACCTCAAAGTTCAGGAAAATTTTACATGTTCTCATAGTCACTTCCAAGCATATGAAAATTGCCAGTGCATAATTATTTAGTATATACTTAGAAATTTTGTGCTAACAAGCCATAATTTTATAGAAGTACTCCACAGTACAAAAGGTAGAACAATCACAGGGCAAAAAGATGATACTTTTAGCTTACACATATGTATATATATATATACTTGTATGCATGCACTGTACTTTACTTTCTTGTATGCATCACAGTGAAGAAAAGTTGTACAGAGGGATGCAAAGAAGGATAATGGGGTAATCCTGTAGACATTTAGAGGGAATTCCTATACTGGCAAAAGATGAAGTATGTAGTGCTGGTTGTTTAAGCATGAATGAAAGATGCCATGTTGAACAGTAGCACTGACAGTTCAGCACAGTGCCAATGAGGTTGCCAATTAATTAACATCCCAGAAGTCTAAAGAAATGTTTTGAAAATACCACATCACATTTGTCAAATTCTAAATGAAACATCTGCAATAGTTGGTCAAAGTTCACTATCAGCTTCTTCCAACATTCATCTTGTCCTGCAAAGAGTCAGAAATCTTTAATTTGCCCATATTTGCTTTGCTAGACCTTTTTATCTTTCATTTATTATTTGTACAATAAGGTAAGATTACATTCTTAGCATAATGAAGATAAATTCATTTTGCACAAAGCAGTTCAACGCTAAGGGTATAGTCTCAGATGTGGTTACCATGAAGTATTGAATTATTATCTAGGTCAATGTAAATTTAAATTATCCCTTTAATTTATATTTTTTTTCTAACCTATACTTATTGATCCAAGTAATCTTTGTTTTCCTGACTTGTGATTGAATATATATTTTTCTTTATTGATGTGTAATTTACTCCAGTTAAAATCTCAGTTCTGACTCTTGTTTGCCTGCATATACAAACATGCATGCACTCTTACAGATAAATGCATAATCAGTCCTCATTTGTGTGCACGTGGTCTTGCAGAAGGCAACTGTTAATGCTTGAAGTGCTTTATTTATTCCAGCCACAGTAAAAATAAAATTCTTTTATCATCTTTTATACTGTCCATCCTCTACTTCATACTCCTCAAAAGTTTTAGATACCAGCTGGCTTGGATAGCTGCAAAAAGCATTTCATATTTTTGGTGTCTAAAATGAGCACTCCAGGGGTGCTTGTCTTCCACTGAACCTGTTTACTTTGTGTTTCATACGTTAGGTGAGTAAGATAGGAAATTAATTCTCTGTGTGCTAGAAGTATCAGTATGAAAGCGCTAATCTCACAGACTGAGCTCTGATCAGGGAGCTCGAAAGCCCCTTTGATCTGAATTCATTGCAAACACCTAGCTCACAGACCCCTATAGATTTCTAGTTTTAACTTAGTGCCTAATGAAGTGAAGTTTATCTCTGAAAACTTTTGTCACAGCTGGACATAACTAGCAATAGTTACTTGCAAGACTACAACTTAAGGGGAAAACTAAACGAATCTCAGCAGGTTATCCTTCTAGGACAAAGTTGAAATGTGCTTTTATAGGTAGCATAATAAAGCATAGCCTTCATCCAGGTCCCCAGACTACATCACAAAAACAGCATGCAATTTGCCTCGTAGTAGTCTCTGCATAGAAGCATTAGAGTAGATAGAAGAAGCTGCATCAGTCAAGGGTTATATTCTTCCACAGTAACGAGAGGAGTAATATGAGCACCATTCATCTATGGTCAATCAGAGAACACTATTTCTACGAAGCTCCAAGATAATTTCTTGTCCACCCAATTAAGTTTTTAACAGTCAAAGCACAACAGCTGTTCATTACTTAGTCCATCCGAACCACACAGTTTCTGTTGAGAATTGTTAATGATACGGTAACATAAGCAGATCCAAGTACCTACTATTTTTCTCACATGTTGAATCCCCACCCTTCTTATCATCCACAATCTCAGAGGACAGCCCTCCTCCCTCAGACAGGATGACTTATATGTTATCACATCCCAAGCTGTTTGTGAGAGGAGTGTGGTGCTGTTGCAGCAGTTACTAGTCGGAGTTTCTTCTTCATCAGTCTAAGGTTTTACTCAATATTATTTTTATGTGTTTCAGACAGCTTATTTGCTAATATACCTGTCTGTTTGCAGCACTAATTTAGTTATACCATATTTGTTTAAATCTGTGAATCCTTCTGTGTGTACAGGGGGATTTCTTTCATGATAAACAATCCACGTGACTGCACACAGACAAACAAAACTTGACTCAAAATTAAGTTGAAAAATTCTTAAGTGATAGCCAGATGATTCTCAAAGGAGAAAGATGCAGGTCAGGCAGCGAATGCCTAGGCACTGGCTAATTTTGTCATTGTGTGTAGGACCAGCTGGGTGATACTCATCTCTCCAGACCTGAAAGGAAGTTGCAGGCAAGAGTTATGTAAATAATTGTACAAATACCGCTAAAATGAAGCTCAAATTAACCAGTTAGGAAGAGATCTCACAAGGCCTGAGCTGGCTTTTAGGTTTTATAAATGCTATGAAGCCTGACTCCCAGTACTAGCCCATGGCCTCATGCAGTTGGCTGTACCACAGGAGTTAAGGCACTTCCCCCAGTCCTTGCTTGCAGCATGACTTACTCTCCAAGTGTCTCAGACACACCCTCCTTTGATGAGCACCTTCAGTATTCTTTTTTTTCTTTTTTTCCTTCTTTTGAAATGGGTTATTGAGTGTCTTCATTTAGTCACCTCCATTGAAAGAGTCCTTGCCTTTGGTGACTAAACCTGTGAAGTAGCACCTTTGGAGAAGCATAGTTAATTTTATAGAGGTTATCGTGTCTTCTGCTATCCTCGTTTTAACCTGAAGGTGAGAATGAATATATCTCTTACTAACTGCGATTTCCATGGAATCTTTTGTGCTTCTTTGGACACTGTGCTGCTTAAACACAGCCAGCTCATCTTGTCTTGCTATTTTTGTCCCTCAGAGTTAGTTTCCATGTCTTGGAAGTACAAAGATATATTCTATAAAACCTTCTCGGGTGTTTGGTTCTAAAAATCATGTAAAATCTCTATGTGCAGTAAAAGCAAAGAATTAATTTGTCCTTAATGCAAATTGTAATTAGAGATGCAGGAGTTCTTCCTTCCTCATCTGAGCCATTGTGTACATGTATGTGCGAACAAGCTCCATCTATTTATAGCTATAATGTATGCAATAAATGTTAAAAGGAATCTTTTCATTGTTAAAGGAGCTCCTTTTCTTGAAGATAATACATCATTAAGGTTTGCCTTAAGATGCTGTTGTGAATAGGAAGGCAAAAAAACCTAGTTTCATACCACCTTACAGAGGCCCAATGCCGTAAACCTTCCATAAACATGATTAGTCCTATTTGTACAGTGTATGGTGTTTATCTCTGCTTTAGTTCTAGGAGAGTGAGAAAAGCCTCCTTTAGTTTTTGCAGTAGGAAAAGCTGTTTTATCTCCTCTTACATCTGGAGGGGAAACGCTGGATAAACAGATCCTTCAACAAGCCTGGTGATAGTAAGGAAAAATCTGTTTTTTTGTTGCTCTCGCCATTCACAATAGGTTTTGTTGTTTTGGTTCTAGTGAAAACACATGTGCCTGCTTTGAAATGGTTCTGTAAAACTGGCAGAGATCTCCTTTAGCTGCAGATTTAACTTCTCCCCTTTCCCATCCTTATCCCCACAGGCCCGTGACGGAGGGTTAGACCGGATCAGTGGAGTCATGCATCACACAGCTGTATCATGCTGGCAGCCTTTCTTGGGTCTGGCTGTGCTGCTAGTCTTCACAGGCAACACCATAGGCTGCCCAGCCCGCTGTGAATGCTCAGCACAGAACAAGTCTGTCAGCTGTCACCGACGGCGTCTGATGTCCATCCCAGAGGGCATTCCCATTGAGACCAAAATCTTGGACCTCAGCAAGAACCGACTGAAGACTGTCAACCCTGAGGAATTCACATCGTACCCTTTGCTGGAGGAGATTGACCTCAGTGACAATATAGTCGCTAATGTGGAGCCTGGAGCCTTTAACAACCTCTTCAACTTGCGCTCCTTGAGGCTGAAAGGAAACCGTCTGAAGCTGGTCCCCCTTGGGGTGTTCACTGGGTTGTCAAACTTAACAAAGCTTGATATAAGTGAAAACAAGATTGTCATTTTGCTTGACTACATGTTCCAAGATCTACATAACCTGAAATCCCTGGAGGTTGGGGACAATGATTTGGTTTATATATCACACAGGGCCTTTAGTGGACTGCTTAGCCTGGAGCAGCTCACCCTGGAAAGATGCAACCTCACAGCTGTACCAACAGAAGCTCTTTCTCACCTCCACAATCTTATCAGTCTGCATCTGAAACAGCTCAACATTAACTCTTTGCCGGCATATGCCTTTAAAAGACTTTTTCGCCTGAAAAACCTAGAGATAGAGGCCTGGCCCCTCCTGGACATGCTACCTGCCAACAGTCTGTATGGTCTCAACCTCACTTCTCTTTCTATCACCAACACCAACCTGTCTGCAGTACCTTACTCTGCTTTTAAACATCTGGTTTACCTGACGCATCTAAACCTCTCTTACAATCCTATCAGCACCATTGAAGCAGGCATGCTTTCAGATTTAGTGCGCCTGCAGGAACTCCACATGGTGGGGGCCCAGCTACGTACCATTGAATCACATGCTTTCCAAGGGCTCCGATTCTTGCGCGTGCTTAATGTGTCCCAAAACCTGCTAGAAACCCTAGAAGAGAATGTATTCCATTCTCCTAAAAGCCTTGAGGTCCTCTGCATTAACAACAACCCTCTAGCCTGTGACTGCCGTCTCCTTTGGATTTTACAAAGGCAACCCACTTTGCAGTTTGGCAGCCAGCCACCAATGTGTGCTGGCCCAGACAGTGTCAAAGAGAGGTCATTCAAAGACTTTCACAGCACAGCTCTTTCCTTTTACTTCACCTGCAAGAAGCCCAAGATACAAGACAAGAAGTTGCAGTACCTGGTAGTGGAAGAAGGGCAGACAGTGCAGTTGATGTGCAACGCTGACGGGGATCCGCAACCTACCATATCCTGGGTTACCCCACGTCGGAGGCTGATCACAGCTAAATCTAACGGAAGAGCCACTGTGTTAGGAGATGGCACCCTGGAGATCCGATTTGCTCAAGACCAGGACACTGGGATCTATGTTTGTATTGCAAGTAACGCAGCTGGGAATGACACCTATTCGGCTTCCCTTATGGTAAAGGGGTTTACCTCAGACCGTTTCCTTTACGCCAACAGGACCCCCATGTATATGACAGACTCCAATGACACAAGTTCCAATGGAACTAATGCAAACACCTTCTCTCTGGACCTTAAGACAATATTGGTGTCAACAGCTATGGGCTGTTTCACATTCCTTGGAGTGGTTTTATTTTGTTTCCTCCTTCTTTTTGTGTGGAGCCGAGGGAAAGGCAAACACAAAACCAGCATTGACCTTGAGTATGTCCCTCGCAAAAACAATGGTGCTGTGATTGAAGGGGAGGTTACTGGACCACGGAGGTTCAATATGAAAATGATTTGATGGTATTTTGCTAGCAGTGCTTTTTCTGTGGCATTAAAACCAATTAAACCAGCCTGGCATGTGGAATTGCTAGGCAGATGCAGCTTAATGCAGCTGTCACTGTATCAAAAGGTTACATGAAAATGGAAAGACTATTTGTGGTTATACAGCAGAGCCTCCAGACCTTGAGGCAGATATGTCAGGGCCTTTCATAGAACTGGGAAATTGTACTAACTGTTTGCATTGCAAATATTGGCATTCTGGGGATATCAGCAATGAACCACTGGCTCATGCTCATGGACAATTGTTCAACATTTTCTACCACTACAAAAATAAAAGAAAAAAAAAAAACAAAAAAAAAGCCTACAGTGTAGGATTTACATACTTAAGGAAAAAGACACATTTGTCTAAAACATACTCTACAGTGAAATTTGTATCTATAGATCTCATTTGATAAAATCTTTCATCACCCCTTCTAGTTGGTTCTACGCCACAAAAAATTGGTAGTTTTTTTTTTGTTTTTTGTTTGTTTGTTTTTTAATCTACATCTATACTGTGTACATTTTAAAGCAATACAAATGAGAGGTTATGCTTTTAGATATCCACCAATACTGACCCGAGTGTGATGTCACCTTCCTTTTAAATACCATCTAACCCAAATTAGACTCTTGCAGTTACCAATTAGAAATAACATATTTTTCTCCTCATGTAGAAGGCCAGAGATGAATAGTTGAGAGGAAAGATGTTCAGCTCTGTTGATCTTCTCTTCATATAAATATAAGGCATGTGCCTAGTTTTGATACAGAATGGAATATTTTTTATATCTGTGATATCACACTGGACCAGTTTACTGTAACAGAGCCCTGGATCCCACCCAGGGAAGGCAACCCACTAGACATTTCTGGCATAGAGGAGCTGAGTTCTACCTTGAAGAGAGAGAGCTGTTTTTGTTAGTCCTGATTTTAATTTCAAAGCCACTGCTAAAATGTTAACGTATACTTGACAAAAAGAAAAAAAAAAGCATTTTACATAATCCTTGGGAAATATGATTGTCTTACTATTTCTAAAAGTAAACTAAAACATACAAATCCTCTGCTACTAGGAACGAACTCTTCTCCAATGCCAAGTAAACTATGGTTGTCCATGCATAATACAGGGATCATAAAGCTAAAATAATCTTTTAAAACATGATAGCCTCAAAAAGGCTAGCATACTGCCAGATAAATGAACCTCTAGCCACAGTCATTCTCATCTTGTATATTTGTAGATAACAGATAAACACAAAACTAATTTCCAAGAACAGATTACTTACTTAGCTGTTCTTGATGCCATTTTAATAACTATGTGGTTATGTTTCTTTCAGGGGCAGTATCTTAGAGGAAGAGGGGCAAGTTTTTCCAGGTTTTAGAAAGCTTTTTAATGGAGGGAAGACAGAAGTGGAATGTTAGTTCAGTAGAAGTAACCTTTTTAGTTTGTTTTATGTCTCAAAACAAATCTCAAAAGGCTCAGAACTGAAACTTTATTCTTTATCGTTGATACTACTGATCTTACTTTGAAATTCTCAGTAATGGGAAGATAGAGAGTTATTCAGCCACCTCTCAATTTTCCAGCAATTATGAGCCATAGGTTTGTTGCTAAGTGACTGATAACAAATACAATTTGTAGATATTGTTTGACATAATTTGGAACAAGGATGATAATGACTATGTACGTTTAGCCAAAATTAATATGAAAATATTATAAGACAGAACATTCAGATTAATGTGGTTTCAGAACCTGCATCCAATCTTAAAATTAAATTTCAGCACTTTGAAACCAAAGTCAGGCTGATCTATAATGGGGTGTAGACTTTTATAAAATCAGTATCCACAATCTTTGGCAGAGATTTTCTAAGCAGGATAAAAATCTCCCACTCCTATAAAGGGCAACGTGCCAAAAGTAAAATCTAGCTGTGCTTCCCTGGTGTACCCCTGACATAGCTGTAGGACCCAAGGCTAGGCAGTTTTGAGAATCTCTTTTCTTAGTGGTTGATCTGTGGTTGCATCACTGCTCCCTTTTAGGTCGCCAGACTAAGAAGAATGCAAGGGTTGTTAGAATTTTCTTCACTTTAGCTGGTTTTAAATTTAGAAGTGAGTTTTCTTGCTGCTTTTTTTTTTTTTAATGCTCTGAACTACTTAGTTGGAGATTTATGGAGATGCTTGAGACTAATCCTCTTTGTTCTATGACAATTTGTAGAACATTAATACAAAGGAATAACCCCTGCCTAAATTCTAACACCAGGGAAATTATTTTTGCTGATATAGTAACCACCGCACTGAAGTCCAAAATTCTAGTGTACCTTAATATGGGCAGTTAAAGAAACAAATGGGGATAAAACAAAGTGTTTCTGAACTGCCCATTGAAGACATTTGCATGTGCCTTTCCCTTGTAATTGTCATTTTTTTTTAACAGTAATCTATTGCCCCCACAGTCACTTCATGTTAAATGTTGAAATCAATGTTAGAAGCAAAAATTCGTCAAAATTCTAGACAGTTGCAGCTGATTGATTCATATTAAATGACACAATTAAAAAAATAAATCTCAAAAGAAATATCAAAAAATGTGCTTTTAGGATTAATTATGAATTGCTGAATTCCCCTATTCCCTTAGAATGACTCTAAAAAGTGATTGCATTGTTAGTGCACTGCAAGGTTTCCTGAGCAGCTGTGTGCTTAGTTACTTCTGTGAAATGTGTGCTGGTAATGAAAATCAGCGCTTGCTCTTGCTGAGCACCACCTTGCAGAGCTGTCAGCATTGTGTGTATCGCCTTGAGTTCAGTCAGTATTCGTTTTTTAAGAATCAGTGTTTGCTTCCTGCCTCTAGCAATGTTCTACTTTTTGTAGCCTATTTATTTCACCATGGACTTGGCAAGGCATATGGCATCTCTTAACAGAAGGGAGAACAGCAAGACTCAGAGACAAGCTTTTATCTTGCTCCACATAGTCTTCTTTGTATGTGTTTGTGGGACACGTGCTTACTGTGGCTGTTTTGGATGAATAAGGAGTACAGCATCAGGGTCAGACCTATATAAGCACCTTTGTGACAGTTCTTTTAAGAACAGGGTGGCTGAATGCCTACTCTGCCTCTTGAAGGAGTCATTTCTTTTCTGCTAGAGATCAAAGAGACACCACAGTTTATCTTACTGCAAAAGGAAAAAAGGACTGGGCTGTGAGGAGGCATCTGACCCACATGGATGCACTATCATACAATGAGACAGGTGGACAGTGCATATCTGCCACTAAAAAAGGGAATGAAGTGTATTTCCTTACCTCTGACATGCATATTGTCTGGCCCCCATGCTGGCACAAGACCAAGGCTGAACTCTCTGGGGAGTCAGTGCAGTGAGACTCTAAGGCGCAGCAATAGTTCTGCAGAAAAGGAAAAATCTGAAAATGTCAAAACCACCAGAGTGACTTGAGAAAGCAGGTACCACAGTAAACTAGTCAATAATTTCTGTAAAAGAACCTCCCACAAATACATTTTGATGGTCACTTCCACAGGCTGGTACTCCTCTCTCATAATGAATGGATGTACAAGTGCTCAGATTCCCCTTGAGTGACCTGAAGAGGACCCTGTAGCAATGTATTAAGAAAAGATTTTGCAATAGTGTAAAATGAACTAAGACTAAGTAGTGCCCCACCTCAGCCTTATTTTTAGGTTTTGAGCTGGTTCTCTTCCCCCCTCCCCACCCTTCTTCCTCTGTTATTAATTGGCAGCATTCTTTTCAGAAATGCTTAGTCCACAACATCAGCTCAGTTGGATTCAGACTAGGAGACTGCGTTTACCCTCTATTTCCCCTTCCCTCACCATTCATGCACCCTTTGCACCCTCATGGTGCCAACAGGGTCAACAGCTCCAGGTACAATTGAGATCAGGCAGGAGACTTTGAGCCCCCTATAGAATTGTTGATACAAGCTGATGCCACTAGATATTTCTTTAAACAATTTTTTTTTTTAATTAAGTTGATGTTATTGTCACTCATTCAAGTTTTCCTTTATTACGTGAACAGTAGCTGTCTTTTTTTCCTTATTTCTTGCATCATGGTATTGCACCACCTACGATGGTAACAATTATACTATCAAAAAGAAAATTAAGAAAGAAAACCACATTACATCCTGCACACCACAAATTGTAGTTGAAGCATAAGAGACACAGTAAGAACTCAGCATGAATATTTAATGGAAAATCTTTTAAACCTTTTGATAGGAGAAAAAAAATTGTGTGGAGAAACTTTGGAATGTATGCCATGTTGCGACTGAATCACACCAAAGTTATGTTGAAATAGAGTTTCCTACACCCTGCCTATATGTCTGTCCTAGATACTGGACTTTTCCCAAAAAACATTCAGGATGTGTGAATGCCTGAAGCACACATTTAACCCATGAAAAGGCAAATCATTGTTCAAATCCAGTAGTGAAAGCAGTTTCTGGATGCCCAAGGATAACAGCAGCTTCTAGCAAAGACAGCCAAGAAACTGCTGTCATACAGTTATTTTGCCTCATCTGCTACTGCATCCTGTGAAAAAAGGGTCCTTAGCCAGTAATAAAATGGAAAATCTTTATACATTTTTCTTCAAAGGGGGCAACATTTGTGTAATACGCTACAGTTTCACCTCCATCCCCAGCAATGAAACATCCAGGAAGAAGTGAGGAAGAGGAAACCTATTCTGGCCAGTTTGCTAATTACCTTTTTCCCCTTAATGATTTTAGTACTACCTGAGGGTAGCATGACGACTGCTGTCTATTCCTGTCCTTTCAGCTCCCAGTGTGGCTTGACATGGAGTAGCAGGGAAAGAAGCACATAGTCAGGCTGTCCCTCCTCCATGAACTGTAACTCTGGTCTTCTCAAATAAAATAACCAGTGCATCAGCAGTGTCTTGGAAATGGCAGACTGCTGCAGCTCATTTGTAGTTTTGCCATAAGACAATATGTGGGACACATGCTTTCTAACCCCATTTCAGTATCCTAGGTGACTGTGCTAAAATAAAGTAAGAAAACTTTCATCCAGTAATTTAAAAGTTAATTGTGCCTAAAGGAGTTAAAGGAGCACATTTGGAAAAGGTAAAGTGCCTGATTGCTGGAGAATCCCTGAAACAATAAGATTTCTCAAGTTAGCTAAGCAATTTGGATGCCCTGTTTCTATCACCTGTAATAAGAATTACAAACTCAATTTCCCTTGGCAGCTTAGAAGAATCGCAGCCAGTTGGTTCAGTGATACATGCTCCCTTTTTCTTTCTCTAGCTCTGCCCTCTTCCTTTCTCAGTTTCAAATGACTGTGATGCTAAAAGATTTCTGGATTCAGTTTAGTTTCACTGCATATTCACATGGCTTTTGGAATCTAGACCTCAAAGCAGGATCTTAAATCCTCTTCAAGCCAAAAAATAGAAATAAAAAAAAGAAGACAAAGCTTGGGTAAACCTTCTCCTGCAAATAAAATATACCAACTTCTGTGAGCCTGCTGCTACTGAGATAGCTACAAGCCAAAAGCAATCTGCAGGTTGAATGAGTCTTAGTCGTTTTTTCTTTTTTAACTAGAAGCAGGTGGTTGGATATAAGGCCAGCTGGAAACAAAAATCTGTATTTATAGCCTCAGTGGAAGAAGGAAAGAGCTGGAATAGTCAAGAAAATGTTCCACATTACTTCCACTTAAAATTAAGAATATCCATATTCAAATAGATCATAGAGGGGTACAAAAGAGTACAAAATGGAACCAAAATTATCATGAAGCAGAAGTCTTGAAGCAAGAGACTAAGAACGTAGTCAGGTAATATGCATCAGGAGAAATCCTCTTGACACCATTCTCTTACTCCTTTGTTACACTAGAAATTTGATAAACAAATCTAGGTTTTTTGCTTTCTACTAAGTAAGGCTATAATGGAAAACAAGCAGAACTTACATTTTAGTTGTTTCTCACCTTGTGTCATACTTTCTATTCTAGATTGCTTTAATATTTACCACTGCTTACTGAGCTGGAGAATGTGAAAATGTAGATTCTGGGAAGAAGAAAAGAAAAAAAAAAAAAGCAAAAGGAAAAGAAAATGTGTAACCTTAAAGAAGTCTGCCTATTTCTATGTGTGGCATTTGCAAGGCAACAACATTATCTCCTCACACACAAGCCAAGAACAGTGGCTTGAAATTTCAAGGCAGCTGTGAAGATGGTTGTCAACTTGTATACATGTTAATAATATCGATCTTTCAGAAAACAAAATATGATTGTTTCATGAAGAATTCACTTACTCCATTTTGATACATAAAATTAAATGACACTTTTCCTTCATTACAGTGGGCACTGTGTAAGAAGAAAGTAAATGACAACCCTAATCTGGTGAGCTTACAGCCATACAGTAGAAAGCTGGCTTCTGGGCAAGTACATATGATAGCAAGTCTCTCATTGTTTAGGGAGGGAATGCCATAGTGCATATATATCAAAATATCATCACACTTATTGAAATCTATTTGCAAGCACATGTAGTTCATATGTATATGTTTGTGTGTGGAAAAAAAAAAGTAATTAGATTTGTTTTGTTCTTTTCTTATTTCAAGTATTAAGTGTATATTGTTTTTAAAAGGTGACAAGGTTAACCAGAAAAAAATGTGTTGTAATTTATTTTAATATATATGATCATAAGTATGGATGGGAAATGAAACAGTCTTGCTGTTATGATCCATGAAGCACACGACATGTTGGGTTTGTCCATAAGTTTGCTTCATGTTTGAGCAAAATATGCTAATATAATGGGGGGAGGGGGAAGAAAATTGAAAAAAAAAAAAAAAAGCTTTGTTTGTCAAGACAGTTGTCCTGAATGTCATTTTAAAAGTTACTTTAGGGCTTATGTCATGATGTGTATCATACTTATCCAAAATGAAACATGAATAAATAATTCCGTGGAGTGGCAAAATTTACTGCTAAAAGTGAAGAAAATATACATTGTTTCTCCTATTGTAGCTCATTGCTTTTCTTCCAACGGGTAGTGGAAGAAACTAAGATGACAAAAATACAGTTTTCTCAGCACCAGACCCAAGGTCTTTAGTGCCAAGTCTTCAAAGCAGGTAATCTCCTCAGACCCAAAACTCTTGAGCTGAGATTGTAAACCAGGACAGTCAGAAAGAGCAGATTCCAACAGGTATTTTTGATCTATTCACTTTCACCCCCTTTCATTGCATGCAGCCATCAGACAGAGTAAATCTTAGGTCCCATTCAAGTGTGGTTTGGGATTTATTCCCCATGCAAAGTATCAGTCAGCCTGGGGTCTCTCTTTCACTTGCACAGTGTACACAGGTAACTGATGGGGATAACAATTAAGTTAATGCTGGAAGAAAAAAACCTGCCGCTTGCTAGCACCATGGAGAGCACAGGAGAAAGGTAGATTTCACCAGCTGCGTGTCACTTAGAAAGCAACCAGTACTGAGCATCTGTACCTGAAACATGGTTCCTAAGGAAATCATCAGTATTCAAACTCCACTGTAACTGCACCAGAAAAATTAAGTCATGGAAATTAGATTCTGTTGAGTTTGAAAGCTATTCCAAACCCCTGTGGCTTGCCACAACCCACTAAATCTATGCCAGAGATGAGTTTTGAAGGACATAGGCCATAAACTAAACTATTGCTACTCCCATTCTCCCACAGCTAGGTACTTCCACCAACAGAGGATTTTACTTATGCATTCTGGGATCATCTTAAATAAGATTCATCAGCCATGAGCCCATTAACCTCTAAATCAGGGTCCTATTCACTAGAAGGGGAAAACAAAGTTGTTATTGCTACCTCAGGTAAGGAAGAAGTTGGATTCCCAGATGGATTGCTGGGAGCAGAGGCAGACAGGGACTGAATCTGAGCTCTTTTGTGCATGCTTCTGTCTGTCTTTTATCCTTCTGCATTTGCATTTGGCACCTCCAAAAGGTTTTGGCTAACATGCACCACTGTACCCTCTTCTGCAGCAGAATGTCAAATGCAATGAATCCATAGGTTAAAATTAACTATATATTATGTTAAAAATCCATTTTATTTCATGTTCTTTTATTTTCCTTTTAATTTTGTAATTTGATTGGTGTATTCTACAGTACTGCCTTCAGTATGACATGAAAAAGGAGCCATTGCTCCTACAACTGCACTGGGAACATCGAGTTTGCACTGAGTTTGTTTTCACTAAAGTTTACTCCACCTTAAGTTTTAGATTTCTTTTATGCAATTCAATTTTCTCTTTTGGACTACCTGTCACTCTCTCAAGAGGTGGAACATGTTCCTAAATCACAGGATCTAATATAGAAGAAACTACTAACCTTCTCTGTGATAACTGGGTAGAGAAAAACACCATCAAATCAAGCAATCACTGACAAATTCATTAAAATAATCCTGAATTTTCTAAAGCACATTCACAAATTTTTGAGAATATTTGTACTTTCACAGATCCACTCTAGATTTGTCTCACAGTTAGTAGCCCTATATTGGGTAAGACAGTAACCTTTAAATAAACAGATCTTGGTATCCAAAGTTTATTTTAAGAAACGCCTGGGTTTAACATTTTTGTATTTGAAAAAAGTAGTTGGAAATGGGAAATAGCACTATTTACTAATAAATAAACTCAGTTCACAGAGAGTGAGTTATTCTCACATGGGGGAACACTCACAGCAAATTTTCTGCACCATAAAACCTTCACACATACAGCAGTAGATGACACGCTATAAAAAAAGGGCTTTGTTAGTCTCCTGCACTATCTGGACGAGGGCAGAGGCTGGTAAATCGTGCTGGGAAAGTGTGAATAAATCTGCAGCTACTAGTTTAAGAAACACAGTTATTGAACAGAACTGTACCTTGTTTTCTACAGACTTGTTAGTGGGCTGGGAGAATTGGTCTGAATTCCTTCTTCCTAGATATAAGAGATCCCCCATGAAAGGCTCTTATGTTGCCTCTGTTCTTGGAAAGATAAGTTTCAACCTTAGTATTCAATGGGAAATGTAACACAGTAAGAAGTTAGCAAAATAGAGGATTGCATAGTCGCAAAGAAAATAAATCAAAGCTTGCATTAGAAATTACATGGTAGTGGTACTTAGCACCTTGTCTATGTAACTTTGAAATTATTTGGGTTAGCAAGAGCCGGTTTATTAATTAATAGCTAGGGAACACATTCAGCTAGTTAAAGCTGTAATCACCAGCTGGAAGATATTTACCTCATCAGTCCGTAAGTGGAAGTTATATTTTTCTGAGCTATTTTCCAATAACTTTCCTATTTATATAACTCAAAAGCACAAGTAATGGAGAGCACACTTATTTTATTATAGGAAGACAATGATAGAAGAATTAATCTCTTACTTTTACTACGAGAGCTCTTTGCTCTATTTGCAAAGACTAATAGATTACATCCATTACGTAAATTATTACTATCACTGAAGCCAAACAACATCTTGTCTTAAAAAACTAAAATCTTTGGTGCATCTGTGTAGTACATCAATTCTAATGCACCACAGATAATACTTTTCTTTCACATGCAAATGGATTAGAGACAGGACAGCCATCTGACTTGTACAAAAGCTTGCCTTTCAATGGACCTTACGGAATCTCACATTGCCTTTCATGAGTTTGGCAGGCTGATGCATTTTGCTAAAGGATATCAGGTCAGCATTGCCTTACTTGGGGAAGGCATAGCTGTCAGATAGTCATGCAAGCAGAGGGCTGTAACTCAGGATTTCTGAGCTTCAGTCAAAAACCTGGGACTCTTAAGTCTCTGGAGAATACAGTAACAGTATTTACCTTTCAAAATGAGGATTCTGCCATTTCCCTAAGGATTATGAAGTCAATGAGCTATGGTTCACACATACCTGTGTGACGGAATGGCAATTTCACATGTAGGTTGGTATGTGGCAAAATATATTGCTATCAAAAAAAACCTTTTTTTAAGAAATGCAATGCCTGCTGCCCAAAGTACTCCAGAAGATGAAGGCAATGTGGTGACAGCAATGGACTGTCCTGTAGTCAGCAGTTCCAATGGCTGTAGAATAGATGCTCTTGCAGAGCAGCGACAGTGTATGAAAGAAAATTTTCATGAGATGCATGCAAACTAGATGATTGTCACTTTTGCAGTTCAGTGGTATATTGTATGAAAGAACCTCTTCATGTCTCATTAGTGGCTTGCAATGCTTGAAAAACGTGATTCATCTCCTAAAGAATCTATAAAGATTCCTCTCTTTGCCTTTTATTATAGATGAGAGATGCCAAAATGAATGCAAGCCACACACCAATTGTCAGGCTGTCAAGTGTAATACCAAGCACTCAGACTACTACTACGACAAAAACATTTCCATTTGGTCCTTCTACAAGACTACCAAAAACAGGTCGCATAGTTTCTCTGCTCTCTAGTCCGTGTTTATTGAAAGCAAGCCAGCATTCCCACAGATTTTCCAACTCTTTAATAGCTAAAGTATCCACTTTTCAAATTTCTTCTGCCAATGTTTATCATAGGGAATTTGTCCTGATACGCTTTTACTCTATTTGCCAGAATGCTGAATTGTGGCCAACTTCATCTTTTAATCAAGGTTGGTTTGCTTATACATGAGCCAAACACTTGGAAATTTCCCATTCTCTGCTTCTACTTTAGCACTGAGGTCAGATGAATTTGCTGTGTATTTCAGGGAAGCATGTTTGATATTTAATTGGCAGTCACTCTCTTATATCCTGCAGTTACTGGGAGCTAATTCTGAGGTATGGGCCTGTCTAACACAACTGAAAATAGCAACTGATCCTTGGGAAGAAGATTATCAAACATATGTCCATTTTGCCATTCAAGACTGACATCAGCTCAAGACACTGGAAGTTGTGTGTTCGAGCCAGTGAGAACGGAAAGGAATACTTGCTGAATGCGCAAGCCATCTTAGAGAACTGCACATAAAAAGGCACGTGAGGGATCAGTTTGTCCTTTCAGGCTTAATGCACTGAAGCAGAAACACAAAGCACTGCAAAAAGGAGGAGGGTATGCATTAACAGAAAGAAAAAAAAACAAAACCAAAACAAAAAAAAAAAAAAAAAAAAAGTCAACCACAAGTATTTTGCTGTGGTGGGCTTTACAGTGTAAGAATGAAAAGTTGATGGGAAAATTATTTTCTCAGTGTGATAAAATGCCCCCTCCAGATTTATAATACAAGGATTCTCTTCTCCCCCTGTTTGAAAAAAGAAAGCTACAAACCACCTCATTTCATTACAAATACTTTCTTAAAATACAGTTTGTTTCAAAAGATGAACCCTTCCTGGGTTTTCAACAGCTATTGTAATTGTTTTTCATAGAACTCAATTTTAATTGTAACACTGTTTTGCTACAGCCCTACTGTCTGTGTCCTTCTTCTTCATTGTCAGTTATTTAAGTGAAGAAATAAAAGCTCAAAAGCACATTGTTGTAATTGATTTCTATGTTTTAATTGTCTCATTTGAAACAAAGTTATGAATTTCATCTGTTGAGGCATAAAAATAAAATTCTTTCCTTAAAGAAAAAAAAAAAAAGAAGAAAAAATAAAGATAGAAATCCATTACTGTTTTGCTTGTGTTTTTTAAGGCAAAAGTTTGAGGCTGTCATTCCAATCCTCTGTCACAGTTCTGGAAATATGTATAGCATTCCTGTGAGTGTATTGATTATACAGAAAAAAAAAGTTTTTCTTTAATACTCTTAAATAGTTTAATGCTTTTCCTGCATATATAAATCTAGTGTTCCCCTGTTAGGATAGCACTTGCTATGTCACTGTCATCTCCCATCCTGCTCTTT